GAGAACAAGGTCTGCTCCCTTGCAGGCAAACACAGGGCTCATGCCACGATGGATTAAACCCTCCAGACACACCTTAATGGACATCACAGTAAAGACTGCCCTCATGAATACTTTTAGTGTCCTGTAAAACAAACTCACACCTATGAAGGAGGCCCCTCCTGAGGGTGCTCTGCCCTCGTGGAGGACAGGCTGGCCAGCCAGGGAAGCTGGCAGAAGGCAAGCAGCTCATTCCGATAGGAAGCTCCCGAGAGGGATGGAGTGGGAGGTGTTTCTGGGCGGGTGTTGGGAGGGCCTGGGGGGAGGGCTCTGGTGCTGCATTGACACTGCCCTGGGCACTCCGGGCTGTGTTTCAGGGTGTGCTTTCCCAGTGCCAGGTTATTGCTAGTTCTAACCAGCCCAGCTGCTGCATCCTCCGAGGAGCACAGCGCTCTGCAGCTCAGCCCTGCAAGGCTTTCCTTCTACGGGTTTCTCGATTTCATTGAAATTGTTGTGTGAGTAAAGGGGCTATTTGCATTTTTGTGGTCTCACGGCTCCACACCCTCACTGGCTGCAAACCGAGCTGGAGAGGGGCTTCCTTCTTTCCTTTGGCTGCTGTCTGAAGCTCACCAGAAGTTGCTAATGCTACTTTCAGTGCTGGCACCCCTCGGATGCTACTGCTGGACAAGAGACCTGAGTCATGAAAAACCTCCTGCATCCCCAGAAGAGCTGCTTTTTGCAAACTCACACATTAGTTTTGAAGGGCAGGAGGGTGTATACCTAGCTGTTTCAACTGTGTGCTTTTAAAATCTATCCCCCATGCCCTGGTACAGTTTCTGGTGCAGCCGTACCAGTTGCAGCATCCCTGCTACGTGGAGGCTGCAAATCAAACACACAGCTGGGGGTCTCCAAGGGTCTGGATTTGGAGCACGGCAATTGCAAAGCACAGGGGGCTGTTAAGAAGGGGCTTTTGAAGGCAGGTGATGCCGTTTCAAGGTCTTTCTAGGCAAGTGCTGCAAGAAGTGCTGGTGTTGAGGAAAAGCACGGGGCGAAAGATCGCCTGCGGGAGGCACATCTGCCACGAGAGGCTTCGGAGGATGCAGGAGCCAGCAGTGAGGAATGATTTGGCAGGCGCTGTGCAGACAAAAATCTATACACAGCCATCAAGTGGGAGAAACAGCAGTGTTTAACACTGGAAGCATTTCATCCTCCAAATGCTGTTTCCAGCATTTGTCAGTGAATCCTCCTGACGCTCGTGTGAGGGGCGGAACGTCAGCAGCAGCGGCTGAGATGAGGCTTTAGACACACGACATGACAAAGAAAATGAAAGGAGAGGCTCTGTGTGGCAACATTTCCTCTGCTTTTTCTCTCATTTCTCCCCACGGAGCACCAGCTGTTGGTTGTCACCAACGTGCTGGGAGCCCGCTGAGGCTGCAGAGGGGGTTTGGACCCCCCAGCCAGGTCACCTCCCAGCGTGGGTCACCTGAATCCAGCCTGGAGAGCAGCCAAAGCACTTGGCAGAGTCTGGAGCTGAGCTAATTTCAATTGTCTTTACCAAAATATTCCTGTGTGCTTTAAGCTGGGAGCTCTCGAAGCCTTGGCGTGGTGCTGCCTTCCCTGGGAACAACTTCTGTTATTTATTTACTTGGATGAAATGTCATCCACAGCAAGGGGTGGGAACAGAAAATCTCCACAACCCTAGCACTGCTGATCAAACTCTTCTGACAGACCTGCCTCCCTGCCAGTGCCAGCCATCAGCACACAGGGGGCTGCCACTGCACTGGGTCCAGTGGTTACACACACTTTATGTACCAAACATAACTAACAGGAGATTTTCAGCCCTGGCTTTGACACTTAATGCACATGTGGATGCTTGGGGTGCTGGTGGGGCACAGCCCCCACATGGGACAAGCTCCAGCACCATCCCAGTCCCTCCACGTCCCTCCAGCCAATTCCCTGCCCCTCCTGCAGCACAAGCACCACCCCCCTGCCATCGGCTGGGCCCTTCCAAGGAACCAGGAACTGGGCAGGTGCTTCCCACTGGGAATCCTTTCTCTGAAAAACCTTTCCACCAGCTCCTGCAATCCTAAGCTAAACCAAAGAGACACGTGCAGACCTTTCCTTTGGTTCACAGCTTCCCAGCAGAGCGTGCTGGCAGGAAATGGGGCTGGGATTGGGGAAAACAAAGTGTGTGTGTGGGCCTGAGGAGCAGAGAAGGCTCCTGGCTTGGCTGGCTGGCCAGCTCCCTGCAGGGGCTGCTGTCACCAGAGGCATTCTGAGATGGTGAAGAGAAAGGTGGGTGCTCACTTGTGCCAGAGCGGGGGAGGCAGAGCCCTGGAGTTATTGCTGTTAGTGGCCAGCAGAGCAGCAGTGGGTCCTGGGGCACAATTCTAGATGCAGTTCTACCATTTAATGGTGTTTAGGGGGTTACTGACAGTTCCCAACCATGCTGGGCTGTGAGCTGGTTGGATGGGTGACACCACCCTGCTTTCCTCCCCTGCTTGCTCTGGGGGGCTCCTGCTCACGCTCCTGGCTGGGGGTTCCTCATGGGTGTCCAGGAGCACTGTCCTGGCACAGCACAGACTGAGGGGGACTCTGTCCCTGCCCTCCCTGCTGCCTCTCTCTATCTGTCTCATCTCCCTTCTGCAACTTCTCTCCCAAACCGTTCATAAACCTCTCCCACTGGTGCTCTCCCTCCTGTGCCACCATCCCTGCTCCTGTCCCTGCCTCCTGCACTCTGGGGCTCACCTGGCCCTGCTCTTTGGGCTGTGCTGCTCTCACACCGTCTCTCCGGAATGGGCACAGCAAGAGGGACTGTCCCTCTCAGGAGTGGCCCTGGAGAGAACTCAGAGCTCCTGAGACCCTAAAGCCACCCCTAGATCAGGCTGCCAAGAGAGGACAGCTGAACTTGTGGCCGGCCTGGAAGGAACTCCTGTTGTCCAAGAGGATGGAATTTTAAGGGAGGCAGAGAAGAGGCAGGGATCAACACTGCCTACCTGCCCCCAGGTGAGGTGGGCCCTGAGTGGGACCCCAGAGGTGACACCCACCTCTCACATTCTCCTCCACCTCCAACCTAAGGACAGCCAGGCCTCTTGGCGATGGCAAGGGGGTGGCCACTCAGCCCACCTGCATTTCTCCTCCCCTCTCAGCCCCCACTTTTGCTGTGCTGGGCACTACCCTTGCCCTTTCCACACCTCTCCCCCTGCCCTTCCTTCCTCCTTTCCTTGCACTTTTCCTTTCCACTGCATCACTTGGCTCAAATCAGCTCCCTGAGCCCTCATTGCCACTACATGGCCAGTCTGAAACATCAGACACTGGTGAAGAGGTGCCTGCCTGGAGCCCAGGAGGCCCAGAGCACAAGGCTGGGCTGCTCAAGGGTGCTGAGATGCCCGAGGGCTGATGAAGAGCCACGAGGCTCCCGCACACCTTCCTGCCACCCAAGCACGGGGAGGTTTCCCAAAGCACCTCCTCACACCTCGGCTACTCGAAGGTCAAACTCTGCCTGCAAGAAACCAAGACTGAATATTTTTGGTGCACTCCGGCACTTCAGGGCTGAAGTCTGGAAGGAGATGCTGTTTGCAGGAGCGCTGCTTGTGCTGAAATCAGTCACTCAGGCTGGGAGGTGCTTTGGGAAAGGCCAGCAGGCACCCAGGCCAGCTTCCTTGGCTGCCCCCAGCGTGGGATCCTCACTGCCAGCCCCCAAGGGTCCCAGCCCAGTGGCTCTGTGGCCTCCAGCAAAGTGCCTCAGAAATGGGTTACTGCAACCTCTAGATATGTTTTAATATTAATCCTGAAGAACTTGAGGTAAAACTGCTACCAGTAATGGATGCTTTTAGACAAGGCTTAGTAGGTTTTGTTACTGTGTCCCTGTTACTCAGACACCAGCAGAACTCTGTATGGCTGTTTTACTTGTTCAGATAGCTGTCTGGAAAAAAGGAGACTACACAAATCCAAGCTATGGCAGCTGCATTCAACACTGACCCCTCTGGCTTTGGGGTCACAACTGGAGCCATAAGGTACCCTCAAAATGATCAGGTTGTATCCAGCACTTCCCGAAGGAACAGCGCTTTAACAGAAAAGACAACCAGGAGAATAAACAATATCCCTTAATTTCAAGGCAAAAAAAAAAGTTTTGGTTCCAAACTACGCTGTTCCTGACCAGTATTTTAAGGCTTTGATTTTTTTTTTTTTCCCCCTCTTTTTAAAAGTGAAGTATTTTTGTCTTTTGGCAGTTGAGGTGCACTTTGTGGGAAGCGCGTTAGCTCCCCGCGCAGCGCCGTGACCTGGAACGGAGGAGTGGAACGAGGCAGGATGAGGGAATGAACCAAAAATGAACCCGAGGATGTGAAACGGGGCTGGGGGGAGCAGAACTTGCTGCAGAGTTTTCTGGGACGGGGAGGGGAGGGGGGGGGTGTGGGATTTACGTATTTCTTCCTCGTCGTGTTCTGAGGAGGAGGAGGAAACAAGGAAAGAGAGGACCTGTCCGCGGGAGCGGAGGGTGCTCCCGGCAGGGCCGGGGCAGGCGGGGAGGAGGGGGCGTTAGTAGAGTCCACAGCCCCGCAGGTTGTTGGCGATGATGACGTCCGTGACGGCGTCGAAGACGAACTGGATGTTGTTGGTGTCGGTGGCACAGGTGATGTGGGTGTAGATCTCCTTGTTGGGGGACTTGTTCTTGCTCTCGTACTGGCTCTGGATGTAGGCCACGGCCTCCGTGAAAGCGTTGGGGCCTGCAGGAGAGCCGGGAGGGGAGGAAAAGGAGGGGTTAGAGCTGTCCTGTCAACCTGCAGGGTGCCTGCACACACCCTCTCACTGGGCCACTGCAGCACAGCCCCATCTCCACCTCAGGGATGGGCACTGTCCCCAGCCAGGATCGCTGCCAGCCAGGGGATGCTCTCTGACTGTCAGCTCAGCTGTATTTTTATTCTGAGTTGCTGTTTATAGTCTGAAGGGCTGAGTGTTAAACAGGCTATGATGGGAAAACCAGAACAGATTCCACATCGTGGTGACAAAAAAAAAGAGAAGAAATCTGCCAGGAATGCTCTAAGTGCTTGACCTGGGGAAGAGGCTTAGCTTTTTTCCTTTTTTAGATTTTTTTTTTTGATTAAAGTTTCAGTTTTGGATGGAAAAGAAGAGCTAGCATGTTCCATGAGTTGAGGGCAGTATTAGTAGCTGTGCTCTCCTCTCCCTGAATGACTAAGAGAAAAGGACATGAAAAGATCCAGCCTCTGTTGCAGATCAAAGTGGGGTTTTCTCGAAAAAAAAAAAAGCAACAAAAAGCCTAATACAAAATGTCCCTCTTTCTGAAGAGTTAGGATCACAGTACTCTCCTCCGGAACCACAGCTGAAATCACACCACGAGGTGTGATTTGAGAGATGTATATAGAGATGTCTGTGCCACACCTTACTAAACATCTTTTTTTCTGTTAAAAAACTCTAGGAGGGGCCATGCAAATGAGCAGATCCTTTCTGCCCTGGCCAGCCCTGATCCTGCTCACACACAGAGCTCCCCTTGGACCTGCTCAGGGCTGAGGAAGGTGGTTCCTCTGGCTGGCCTGGAGTGCAGCACTGCCTGCTGCCCGAGCCCCAGAAGGCTCCTCAGCAGTAACACTGCTCCTGCTTTTGGGTCCCTCTCCCTCCACGATGCTTTACTGATGGGAAATGCTGCTATCTGCTAGAAGGAAGCTTGCTGTGGTGGAAGGCAGCTGACCTGGGAAATCCCACTTGCACACACACACATGCTGCCAGTTGAAGACACAAGCACAGGAAGACCACGGGACTTGAGGATATGCTTGAAGTAAGAGAAGCAAACTGTTTTCTGGGAGCAGGTTCTTGCATGGGCAGATATGTAGAGAATCTGTGAACAGTTCCACGGGCTGTGCACAGAGAGGAGGGTATTTTATGAATGGGAACTTGGTGCTTCAAAGGCACGAGGATTTAGATGCTGCATTCTGTCCAGGAGAGCAAGGAATCACTAATGCCAGCTTGGTTTAAAACACACCAGGGATTCTGCTGCTGCTTTGCTAAGTATTGTGGATTAGTTAAAAGCAGGGGTGAATTAAGGGGATGGAAACAGTCAGTGCTCCAGCAAACAGCCGGCAAATTTGTGGATGCAGCCTTCCAGTAATTCCCTGTCAGCAGAACTAATGGACATCACAAACTTCATTTCATTAAAAGCATTTTGTGGAACCTACTCGTGATGCTGAAAGTCCGCTTGTTCAATTTATAGGCTTTCATCAAATAATTCTTTTTAACTCCAGGGCAACATTCTAATAGTGCTGCTTTTCCACACGACCACGAGGGCTTCATCCTCTGAGCTGTGGTCAGCAAAGCAGGGGCCAAAGTGTGTGCTTGGGTCTGGAGTCCAGGCTGGATTTAGCATGAGCTAACTTGTACTGGCACTGCTGAGTGCCTGGGGGGGGGATATTCCTCACCTCTGACTCAGATGACTGTTGGATCAGTAAAAGGACTTGCAGCCATCAGACTTCCAGCCCTCTCTGGTGGCACAAGAGAGACAGGAGGTCTGTGGAGGGTCCCTGGCATTATGAGAACTCCCAGCTTCCTGAACAGCACCTTGAAGGAGTTCAGAGCATCTCTGGGGTCCTCTGAAATGTGGGGAAGAGTGGTTTGGTTCACTTGGGGCTGAAGCGCTCCAGAAAGAAGCTATACTTGTTTTCACGTGTGTCTGAGGGTCTGCCTCCCCCACTGAACTCCTCTCTTGGGCTGGGATTGCTCGGGAAGGAACAGCTCCTTCTTCTTCTAGTCTCCCTGCCATCAGGGGTCTGTAAGAATATTATTTTGGAGTGGGGTTTCTGGGAGACTTTAGTGAAGATCCACAAAACCAGGTGCACAAAATACGACCAGGAAGGAGTGAAAGGTGCAGATTTGCTTCACTGAGAAAAGGGAAAAGGAAGAGGGCATGATGGAAGCCACCCAGGACATAGAAGTGCTGCTATAAAGAAGACAGTGATGAGCTGCTCTACAAGCCATCCAAAAGCAGCAATCTAATTTGCAAGCGGGAAAATTTCGGGTAGGCATTATTATGAGCTTTCAACTGTAAAGACTGAAATTTCCATGATTAGATCTTTCCAGACAAACGTGTGGGGAATATGTTGGTTCTGTCTGGACCGAGCAGATGAGTGGATGGCTGAAATGTGCTGGTAGTGACAAACACCCAAACCTTCCCCAGAGAGGGAGCCTGCAGATGTTCTTCTGAATTCAGCTGGAGTCGTTCTGCTCCGTGGTCTCAAAGCAGCAATGAGGGATAGCCTTTGTCTATTCACAGTGAAAAAATCAAGTGTTCAGAGATAAGAAGCTCTGGTTAATAATTTGTTGGCCTGCCCAGAGATGTGACACCCTCGGTGCTCCTGGTTCACAACCACGTTTCCCGACAGAGAGATCTGCTCCCCTGTCTGTCGGCTCGATTCATCTGGATGTCTCCGGCGAGCTTAAATAATTCATGATGATAAAAGTTTATTTTTGTGCCGTCTCGGGGTGGTAATGAGGGACTGTGGAAGCTGGTGAGATGCAGAGGGAGCAGCGGGGTGCAGCTGCAGCCTCTGCAGGGGTGCTGCATGCCCAGCACCAGCGGGTCAGCTGCCAGGCTGAGGTGGGGGCTCCTTGCCCGCTGCACAGCCCCTGCTCTCACTCCTCCATCACCGAGGCCTCCTTCTCCCTGCCGAGCCTGGGGTTTGCTGTGGCCTCTGCCTGCACTGGGGGTGGAGGGGTGTGGGTGGCCAGCAGAACAGAAAATCAAACACCTTGCTTTCTACCTGCATTTAGCTGGAAGTGCTGCTATGTCTGTGCTTGATTTCAGTGAGCCTGAGAGTGACACTGGGGACCTCCTCAACTAACCTGATGAAAATGTGTACCTTGAGCTGAAGCAGCCGAGCTGTGAGACCTGCTGCCTGCACCCTGGGGGGCTGATCATGGAATGTACAATGGATTGGGTTAGAAGGGACCTTTAAAGGTCACCTGGTCCAACTGCCCTGCGGTGAGCAGGGACATCTTCAACCAGATCAGGTTGCTCAGGGTGATGATGATGACTCTGCAGCCCCAGGGTGCCTGGCAGTGGGGTGGTGGTGGCCAGAAACTGCTGAGGGATTCTTGTTGTGGCCAGCCAGGACCTACAAGGGAACGCGGTGGGTTTTGAAAGAGCAAAGCTGGACTCCAGCTGAGGACAGCCTGACAAACCCTGTGTGTTGGTCTCCCAGAGACCAGCAAAGAACTTGGTTTGAGTCATCCTCCTGCTCTAAGTGGACCAATAAAGATGGTGAGGATGACCCTGTGGCACTTCCTGCAATGAAACCTGCAGTGAAGCCCATGGCTCTGCACCTTTAGCCTCATTGCCTGTAAAACATGACAGCATCAGCCCTGCTGGGAAGCGCCCTGTGCTCCCTTTGCTGTGCCCTCCTCTGCAGCCACCTGTCTCATTACCTGTGTACTCAGGAAAGCAGATAGCCAGTGGAGATTTCTTAATTTTCTCCTCAAATATGTCCTTCTTGTTTAAAAAGAGGATGATAGATGTATCTGTGAACCATTTGTTGTTGCAGATGCTGTCAAAAAGCTTCAGGGATTCGTGCATGCGGTTCTGCAACAGAAAGGAGAGATCCCATCAGGCCAAAGGCAGGGACCCAGGGACGTTCAACACGTAGGGAAAGCTAAAACAACTAAATTAAGGAGGAAAACAACAAAAAAGAAAAGCTACAATATACATAATCAATTTATGTATACATATACAGCGGAACATATACATACACAGATGCAATCCCTAGAACATTTGACACAGTTAGTAAACTGAAGGGCATTTAACGATACAGAGCTGTTTTGATTTTGCATAACATTAATTTACAGGATCCCAGCTCATAGAAATCATCATGCACCATGCATGGATGGAGAGTTATTTTTGCCCTTTGATCAGATTTTTGTGTCGGTGTAGCTCATGCAGATTTTCTACAACGTTTTCAATCACTTTTTAATTTCTTTTTTTTTCCCACTTTCTCGAACGTGTGCCGCACACAACTGGTTGGATACATTAACCAAGGACTGGTAGATCCTTGAATTAATCTAGAGTTGGAAGCAGACATCAAGGTAACATAATTTTGGAAATGACCTTGCCGTGACCTTTGCCTGGTTTTGTTACTTTGTTTAGTGCCGTCCCTTGTTGGGCTTTTAATTTTTGAAGGTTTTTTTTTTTTTTTTTTTGGAGTTCTCTTGGAAGATGGCTCAACAGAAAGTGTCTTGCAGAGAGGAAAACAAGTGAAGAAGGAAGAGGAAACGGTATAAAAAGGAAAAACGTAACAGAGAGCGTCTAAGAACAACCAGACTGGAAGTCAGGCAGCTACCAGTGGTGTTAGCTCGTGCCTCTAGAAGGTTCAGCTACTCGCCAGCAGAAGGGCTGTAAGTTCAAACGCACACACAGCGAGAGGTCAGCGTTTTGGTTATAGGTCATGCAAAAAAAGGACACAGAAAAGCAGAGAGGTAAGAGGAGTGAAAAAAACCAGACCAGTCAGAGAGCTGCAGAGTCCGCCACACGGTTTTATGGTGGTGGGAAGAGCTCACGGCAAAGTCACCCAAGTGTCATGTTCCCTGCTGCTTTCAACTCTCAACTCGCTTTTTGCTTTCGCTTTTTTTTTTTTTTTTTTTTTTTTTCTCAGTTCAAGAGAAGCTCCATACCTGCCAAATTTGGTTGGTGTCTCTGAAATGCTCATTTTTTGGCCTTTGTTTGGCTAGATAAGGTCAGTCGGCCGAGGCAAAGCTGTGGCGGTGCCGAGGCTGGCGATGTTTGGCGCGAGGCCCGCCGGTCGCGGGGCCGTCTCTCAGCCGGGAGCCGGGCAGCGGAGAGAGCAGGCGAGGTGAGGACGAAGCACACCCAAGAGTCAGGGGGTTATCAGAGGCAAAGCATGGCACAGACCAGACCGGCTCCTCGGCTTTTCCCAGCGGGGTCTCCTCGGGGCAGCGCTCCCCAAACCCCGCCGGTGCGCGCAAGGAACTGCTTAGAGCCGCCACCACCACCGAGACACCGCAGAGGACGGGGCTGTGCGGGCTTTGTGGAGTGGGTGCAGCGTGTCCTGCCCACCCATCTCTGGATTTGGGGATCTGGAGTCATACAGGAGTCAGCCGGGGGCCTTTGCCCCGCTCCCACTCCACCGCACACCCACGCCGGCAGCGCTTTACCGAGTAACGCTTCCCTTTGCACTTCATATCCTTCAGCTGCTGCTGAACCTTTTGTACAGGTAAAAGTGGCTCCGTGGATGGAGGGAACATCCGACCCAACCCAGAGCGAGACAGGACGCGTGAGATCTGCCGTCCCCCGTGCTGAGTGACCGAGCGTTTCCCCGTGCGTGTCGTACCCGCGGGGGGGACGGCGCCAGAGTGGAACAGTGCGTTTACCCTTTGGGGCTCAGTCGCATCGTGCTGCTCATCTGGATCATCCCGTGCCCCTGGGCTGCTTTTTGCTAACCCATTTGGTACTGGCTGGTGTGGGAGCCCTGGAGCAAAGCTCCTCTCTGCTACTTGTGGTGCCAGAACTGTAACCGTGCACAGACCTGGTGTACAAAGGAGATCCTTGGCTACCCAGAGCCTTTCAGAGGAGAGGAGGAAGTGGAGGGTGGTCGGGGGAACAGAAAGCAAATATAATTAACCATTTTCTTTAAACCAGGGTCCCTCACAGAACATTCTAAATGACATTTTTATCATCCTTGCTGATTCAAAATACAAGCATGGAGAAACACGTGAATGCTGCTCGTGGGTTAAACCTACAGCTCATCCACAGCACCCATCAGCGCACCTCGCTGCTCCCTGCCACCCTGCACAGCCCCTGTGACACCCTGCACAGCCCTGTGACACCCTACACATCCCTGTGACACCCTGCACATCCCTGTGACACCCCACACAGCCCCTGCCACCCTGCACAGCCCCTGTGACACCCTGCACATCCCTGTGACACCCTGCACAGCCCTGTGACACCCTGCACAGCCCCTGTGACACCCTGTGACACCCTGCACATCCCTGTGACACCCTGCACAGCCCTGTGACACCCTGTGACACCCTGCACATCCCTGTGAGACCCTGTGACACCCTGCACAGCCCTGGTGGGAGCAGTGGGGTGAAACTGCTCCCTGTGGCACAGGGAGCACCACGGGCAGCGTCGGGTTTTTCCAGGAATCAGAAGCTGAGGACTGCTCAGATGGGCTTTGTGTTTAGGTGAAGCCAACTACTCTTCTAGAGTAAGACTATGTAAAGATCCTACAGCAATCCTTCTACTCCTCTTATAAAGTTTGATTAATTTGTGTTAATACATGTTAGGAAATGAGAGTGTTTTCCCAAGAAATAGAGACTCTTAGTGTTCAGCTGTCCCCAGAATACAGAATCCCAGAATCACACACACACAGCACAAACCAACAGCCCTGCAGAACACCACAGTTACACTAATGTCCTCTATTCCTTCCAGATTCCAGTTTGAAAGCTTCCCAAGGCTGTCTGACCTGGCTTTCTGATGTCTCCATGTTGATTTTTCCCTCAGCTCTGCCAGTTAGCTGAGTAAACACAACCAGCTGTTCTGCCCACTCCTGCTTATTTACATGGGCAATGTTTTGGTCTCAAATCCACCTTTTCCTTGCCCACCACTAAAGAGGAGATGACACTATTCACAAGCCAGGAATTGCTAGTTCTGTGTGTGTGGCAAAGGTGCAGAGCAGTATCCTGATGAGCAGGCACGGATGATGCTGTTGTCATCCCGGGATGCCACGTGGGAAATGTCACATCCTGGGGAGGCTTGTGGGAGCCCAGGCATGGGTGCAAGCCTGTCCAGGTGTGGCTAACACTGGGAATGCCTCACTGTCTCCCTCTCCCTTCCCTTCCAGCTGTTACTGGTCCAACAGATGTTGGTAGCAGCCCTCTAACAGCTGTGGCAGACCCAGCTGAGAGGTGAGGATGTGTCTGGGTACCAAATGTCAAAGGACAGGCTGCTGCTAAAGGATGAGTGAGAAGTTAGAGCCCTCAAATATTCCCCCTCCTCCCAGTAAATCCACAGTGGAAGGCCCTTGTAGTCCCTCAGAGCTTGCCTTGGGCCCCTCTCAGGAGCACCTGCGCTGCTGTGACGGGGCAGTCGTGCCTGCTCTGCTGGGAGCCACTGAAGGTTATTACACTCCTCATATTTTTAGATGACGTGATATAAATCACTTCACCTGCTTTTGGATCCATCGTGCTGCTTTTTCTCACTTCGTGGTTGGGTCTGTCATCAAGGGAAGGGCTCCTCAAACACTGACATCTAAATGTCACTTATCTTTCCAAACTGCTATTTTAAATCCTGGTGCCTGCAAATACGTTACACCCCGACAAGCAAGGCAGCCCCCCCAGCCACGCTGCAGAGGAGGAACCACTTGCTCACACGTACTCAAAGTCCAGTTAACTTTTCCTGCACAGGGCAAGAGAGAGAATTGCTCACAGCTGAGTTCAGGTGTCACTGCACAAGCACGCTCCTGTCGCTGATGTGAAAGGCAGGCAGCTTTCCCCCGAGCACGAGGGAGAAAGGATGCTGTGGTCAAGGCTCTGCCCAGGCAGAAACACACTCATAAAACCCATCTTTTTTTTCACTGGAGCATGGGAGGAGAGCTGGTGATTTCTGCAGCACACAGTTGATTGCATGGTCTCTGTTTTCCTTGGTCATTAAGCACTGGCTGTCACACCAACTGTAAGGACACTGATGGTTATCCAGAGCACACAGACTCCATATTCCCCCTCCTGCTTACATTTCCTAAGATGTCCAAGCCACTTTCTCTTGCTTTGTCACTCCTCAGGCAATTTCTGAGCACTGCAATTCCATTTTCCTTGCCCAATGACAGCAGGGAGAGCACAGTAACCAGGTCATGCAATGCAACAGAGCCACCAGGCCAACACTAATGCACACCAAGGGTCACCAGCACAGCCCCCCAACCCATCCCAGCCTCAGCAATGGGGACACCAGCAATGCTTGCATGTCCTGGCTAGGTATGGTTGACCTAAATATCTGAGTTTCAAAGGCAGCAATGTACAGCATGAACATCTCCCTCTCTTGCCACAACTCCTTTGAATTTGCAAGGGAAAAACCAGGGCATAGTCTCAGTTCCCATGACAGGTTCCATGCCATTGCTTTTTAAAAATTCCATTAGGAATTCCACTTAAAAGGAACAACAGAAATCTACCTTAATTGTTTTCTCAAGTTTTACTAAGTGGTATGACTGCTGTCCCTCTCTCCTCCCAGATTACAGGGCTGAGCCTTTTCCTCCTGTAACCTCAATTTATGAAACATGAAGATAATACAGAAATGAGACAAAATAGCCTTGTTATGCAAAGACACAATCCTTGAAGATGTTCTGTCAGTTAAAACCAGGACATTCCCAGTGTGGACAAACACGGCAGAGATCCTGGCAGCTCCTTGCCACGGACTTGGTAAAGGCAAAATGTGATCTTTGTGTGTACATGGGCCTAAAAATCACAGATGCAGAAAGTTTTCTTTATGTCTTTCTGATCTGGACATGGGGAAGTGCTTGCTTTCCTTGACTCCTGCTGTGCAGCTCTTTGTGGCAGCGAATTGGAGAGAAAATACATCCCTTATCCAAGACTGCCTGCTCTTAGGGAGCAGGGATGGCTTCCCTGTTTTAGCTGCTGCAGGAGGGTGGGTGCTCAGTCTTTTAAAACAAAGGGCACAGCAAACCCCCAAACCCCTTTCCAAGCACAGCGCTGTGTTTGAATTGTCAGGGCAGGGACAGCTCAGGGGGTGTTTCACCCAGCCTTGCTTAACCAGCTCTTTGGAAAGGATTCACAGGAAACCTGTTGTTTGTGAGCTTTATTCTGGGAATCGAGCTGACCCTGCACTTGTCCCAGCTGAGGCTCAGCCAGACCAGCCCCTCCCTTCTCTGTGTTTGGCTGACTGCATCTGAACTGCAGTGTCCTCCACCTGGAGCGTGGTTTGACTTAGAGAAGTGCAAAAAGCGCCTGTGAAATCCTGTGCTCATTGACAAACTGGGTGGTGGGCACTGGAGGAAAAGCCATTCTCCCCATGCACCCAACTCTGGAAGGGTTTTTTTGGGGTGCTGAGATGCAGTAGGGCCTTTTCCCTCTCCTGGCTCCCTGCCAGCAATGAAAGCTCTTTGCAAGTCTGTCCATACTCACAGAGACATCTGTACAACCCCCAAGCTTGCAGCTCGGCACAGCTTGGAAGGGCCTGGACTGCAGGGAGCATCTCTAGAAAATGAGGCTGGAGGAGCTTCCATTTCAATGTCTCAGCTGCCTCCTCTTTGTGTTTTCCAAGTGAGAAGCAGCAATAAAAGCTGACTGACGTCATTAGAGCCGGCAGATGTGACGGATGCAGGCGGCAAGTCAGCTGCTGCTTCACTGCTGGGCTCTGGGAGGGTGAGGAGCTGCTGCTTCACTGCTGGGCTCTGGGAGGGTGAGGAGCTGCTGCTTCACTGCTGGGCTCTGGGAGGGTGAGGAGCTGCTGCTTCACTGCTGGGCTCTGGGAGAGCCACCACGAGCAGGAGGAGCCCTGGGGGGTTCAGCTGGGAGGGCTCAGGGTCTGTGGGTGCCGCGTTTCCCACCTGCCATTTGTGACGGGGATGGAACAGGGCAGGCAATCTCCCCCACCAGTGTTTTTTTCCCATTCACACTGGCCTCGCCCAGGGCTGTTTATCTGGGTTAGGCAGGGGCGTCCTGCCGGCGGTGGCGATGCCGGATCCTTTCCCCGTTTACGCCGAATGTGTAAATGAGCAGCAGCTGCCTCTGCCCTCCTGTTGCTCAGCATCCCCCGAAATGTGTTGTGAGAAGGGACTGAAATAGCAAGCAAATGTCAGCGCTGTGCCAGAGCTGCACCAGCCCGCTCTCCTGCTGCAAAAGGAAGGTTGGAGATGCACAAATCCCAGTTTCTGCAGCAGGGCACTCGAGGAGGGAGGCTGAGCTGGCACCCTGCTTGTCTCCAGGGTGGTGCTGGGCGAGGGAAAGTCACTGGCAGTGCTCTCCCCAGGAGAGATGCTCTAACCTCCGGTTCAGAGGAGCGGAGTTAAGCCTGACATTTATAAAATGGCATTGGCATTCAGGCTTCCCTTCCATTTTGTGCTCTGTGGCTTTGAATCACAGGCTCTGGCTTGTGCAGATGAGCACCCAAAGGTGACCCGTATTAAAAGCTGCCTTCGGGTGTCACAGTCCAAGTTCTACCTACAGAGCACCTTGCTCTCTGCTCAGGTAACAGCTTTGCTCCCTGTCACCTGCACCTGCCCTCTCCCTGTGTGTTCTGTATCTCCTGGCTGTTTCCACTGCCTGGCTGCAGAGCTCTGTGGTATTCAGATAATGGCTGGGTTTTTCAAATCACAGCAGAAGATTTTGGTTCATTCCCAGTCAGTGTTACAGGGCTGAGCATCCTTAAGAATATCAGGGCCAGGGGCAGAGGGAGGGGACAAGTGGAGGGTACAAATAAGTGGACATGAGAGGATGTAGGGTGTCCCATCTGGAGGGAGGCAGTCATGATCACAGAATCATAGAATCATAAAATATCCTGGATTGGAAGAGACCCACAGGGATCACTGACTCCAACTCTTGGCCCTGCACAAGACAACCCCAAGAATCACGTTGTGTGCCTGAGAGTGTTGTTCCAACACTTCCTGCACTCTGGCAGGCTTGGTGCTGTGATCATTTCCCTGGGAGCCTGTTCCCCTGCCCAGTCACACTCTCAGTGAAGAACCTTTTCCTAATTTCCAGCCTGAACCTCTCCTTGACACAGCTTCATGCCATTCCCTTGGAACCTGTGACTGATGATGTTGATATCACCCTGAATTCTAGCATCAGTACCATCCAAACAACCAGGTGACCTCAGTACCATCCAAACAACCAGGTGACTTCACCAAAGAGTTAGCTAGAGCTCATAAACCTGGTTCAGAGGCTACAAACCACAGTACCCGTAGTCTTTGGGGGACAAGACAACCGTTACCCAACAGCAATCTTCTGCTGGATTCCTTCCTCATCCACAGCTTTCCGTAAGCCTGACACCTTTCCCAGCAGAACAGAACCCCTCAGAGCTGGCAGGAACGAGCCCTCTGTGCTGCCACGGACTGGGCACCAGTGAAATCCTTCCTCAGTCTGACATGGCCCCCAGTTCCTTCTCATTAGACAAATGCAGCTGGGTGCCCACAGCTGTTGTCATTAAAACCACACACCCCCTCACACTGAATGAACGGCCACAGTGCAGTCATGAGTCCTACTGCATCCTCTCTGTGTACTCAGTTCACTCCTATTAATTGCACTCTAATACCAGGGAGCACACAGGTCCTCGCCTGCTTTATTTCCAGATGGTATTTTGAGTCTAATGTCACAGTGGGAAGTCATAAAAATCCCTCCTAGAGCAAATTACCTGAGGAATCAAACAGTTCCATTCTCACTGAGGAAAATGAATCTCTGCAGCCTGAAGAAATGGGTTATACTCCCAGGCCAAGCCTTGGGTGTGCATGGCCAGCCCTGCATCACAGCCTGACCATTTCCCTGACATCTGCCCCAACACCCGCTGTGCTGCACCTCCTCGTGCTCACACAGGTTCTTGCGAGGCATTTTGAACACACACAGAGAGCAGAAATAAAACACTGTGACTCCACTGGGGCAAGGAGGCGTTACCTGGGCACGCAGACTTCATTTCAGAGAGTGTGCAGGAGGACAAACCTCCCCAGGACTTCAGAGTCCGGGGGGAGTGACAGACAAAAACCAGAGCTGTGGCCCCCCAGGGAGGTCTCCAAGAGGCTGCTGGCTATGCAGTATCCCATACAGAGGTGCTGGGGCCTCCAGGACCCGCTCAGACTCACCGTGGTTTCATCTTCGTGCAGCACCTGGTCGTAGCCGCTCAGCGCAACGCAGAAAATGATGGCTGTGACGTCCTCGAAGCAGTGGATCCACTTCTTGCGTTCTGACCGCTGGCCCCCCACGTCGAAGAGCCTGCGGCACAGGAGAGGGCCATCAGCACCTACTCGCTCTCGAGCACCAGGAAACTTCGGCTTTCTTGGCATTTTGTGGCCAGGGGGGCCCTGGGAGGCTCCAAATGCAAAGCAGTGGGTGCGAGGAGGACAGGGAGGAGCAGTGACAGATGGGGAGGTGGGGATTTTTGGGGTGGCCTCAGCAGCAGCTGGGCCCCAAAGGGTCTGTGGGGGTGCAGACCTTATGCTCTGGAGTTCATATGCTCTAAACACTCTCTGGGAACGGCCCTCTGTCCTCATGCCCCCTTCTCTCTGCTGGCTGGGATCTTGCAGGTCAATGCACAGCAGTAACTCCACGGACTGAGCCACCTCAGAGAAAGATCTGGCCAAACAGTTCCACATTTATGGAGCTTGATTGGACTTGGGGGTCAATCTCACATTACACTTTTCAACAAACAGGTGATGCTTGGCTTAGAAGAAGCTGCCACGAGCTTCTGCCTTACAGGCAGTGACTTCCAAGACCAAACATTTCACACTGTTGACCCTCCAAAGCTCCATGTCCTCTGCAGTGAGAGCTGCCCACGCACTGACCAGCAACTTAACAACTTCTCCTTTAGGTACTGTGGTGAAACCCTGCCATAAATAGTTCTGAAAACTTACTGTGCAGTTTTAGACTAACCTGAAGTGGAGGTTTTTGAATGTGAAATGGGTTTCTACGATGCCAGTTGTCTTGACCCTGGTCCGGAGGATGTCCTGCTCCGTGGGCTGGTAGTCTGCAGCTCCGATTCGATCTAAGCTGTCTAGGTAGCTGAGAGAAAAAGGGAAAAGGAAAAGAAAACAGATAAGAATAAGGCACACAATAATCTTTGTCAATATCTCAGATGAATCCTTCAGCTTCCTATTAATCTTTTTCAATCTCATTTTTCAGGGCTGAATATATTGTAGTTACAGGGGGGAAAAAAAAATCCTGTTCTGGGGAAAAACAAACCCCACTAACCTAAGCATAAAATCTGATAGCGAAGTGAAAGCAGGAAATTAAGTGGGGTGTGTTGTGAGTCCTGATTGCAATCTGTGAAAATACACAGTTTTAATATTACTTGCTATTTTTATTCCCTGGGGGACAAAGGTCCCAACTGGTCCGTTGTGCTGGACTCTGGACACACACACACGCTTTTGTGCCAGGGTTGATTCAGACAAGAGGCTGGAGCACACAGGTCTGGCTCCCAGAACACGCAGGTCGAGTCCCCCTGGGGAGATGGCTCTGCCTGTGCTGGGAAGGGAGGGAGATGCCATGCCCAGTGGGATGCCTTGCTTTCAGTCAGCTCGGATGGGGGGAGATGAAGCTGCCCAAGTGAGTCACTGCTTCAGTCTGAAACCCAGCCCAGGGCTGGGGCTGCGGGAGATGCAGCACTTGGACAGAACCCCAGGGCCTCACTCCGATGGTGATAACCTGGGAGTACAAACCGGGGCTTTGTCAGGGGGTACAGGGGAGATTTAGCTTTCTAAAGCACTTGGACAGTTTTAAAACATGTAACTTTATTCTGCTCTAGGCTTAAAATCTATGAACACAGACAATGCCCCCCTAGGCTGAAACTTGGGGTAGGAACTCCTGTCTTTGGGCATGAAATATTTCTGTAGAGGAACCCAACAGATTCACACATAAGACCACAATTCATTTTCCCATCCACATTCAAGACAATTTTCCAAAACAATCTATAAAGAAAAGAGGCATTTGGATTACAATTTAATATGAATTATAAACAGAAAGCTGCATCACACGGTGACGTCTTTCTCACCACTGCTAAGGCTGCACACAGACGCTCCAATTTCTCTTAAATGTGATTTTTTTAAAACACAGAGTGTGGATTTAGTCCTGATGAAAACTGAAATCACCTCCCCAGGCTCCTGTGTCTTGCCACAGCACATCCTGCTTGGCCCAAACTTGGCCCCGTCCTGCTGCTGGAGATGCTTTCCCTGCTGCACCCAAAACCAGGGACTGGCTTTCCATTTGTGTCCTGGAGGGAGTGCTCTGAGCCAGGGCTCCAGAGCAGAACAAGGTGTGCTGGGGCTGTGCACTCTGCTACCCAAGAAAACTCCCTGGCCCTGCCTTTCCAGGAACAGCAAACACACAGCCCAACTCCATGCTAAGGTCAAACCCAAACCTCCCCCTGCTCACATCACGTATTTTCCTTACCCATCTTATTTATAATTTGTTTTTGCTAAGGAATTCCAAGAACCATATCACCCAGAGAAAAGTATAGAAGCTGAGCAGGCTTTTATTTTTGCAGTGCCCTTTCCCAAGCATTTAAAGGCCTTGTGGTTTCATGACAGATGCTTCCTTAATAACCTTATGATGGGCCCTGGATGGATGGATGAATGGGGCTTCATTTGAGATCAGATCCTCTGCTGTGAGGGCTGAAGCCACGATCACTCATCTATTCACAACTGGTGTCAACTGCTGTTATTTAAGAGGCAGCTGCATCTCTTCATGTGGCCCCGCAGACCGAGGCAGCCCTGCAGTGCTGGGGCTTGGAGAGGCAGGCTCTCCTCTGTCCTCACCATCCAAACACTCCAAGGTGATGCCAAAGAGTGGATACTTGGTCTGTCAACACACCCTCTGCCTTTTCTTTTAACTTCCCTCTCCATCTCTTCCCTCATCTCCCGTCTTTTCCACCACTCTCTGCGTGTCTCTCAAGGACTTAAATTCTTTCAGCTGCCTGGATCTGCTTTTCATCTGTTCCTGGGAGTCTTGACGAGGGTCAGCCATCAATTTCTATGAAGTTATACAATATTGTCAGTGCTGGTTTCGAGGCTGCATTCCATAACTGTTTTTGCTGCTCTCCCCTGGACTGTCTCCCACCTCAAGCTGCAGCAGACATTATTTCCCCTGGATTTGGCTGCAGCTGAACTGGACCCTGCTGGTGTGTGCCCCCTGTGAAGCTCAGCTGCAGGAGCCTGGCCTGGCTGCCACGCTAACACCCAGCTGCAGGAATGGGAAGCTCAGGCAGGCTGCTGTTGGGATGGTGAGCTGATTTTAGCTGCTGCTTGTTCTGCTTGGCTCCTGCTGAAGGTGCCTCTGAGGTTCCACTGGTGCTTGGAAGGACCTGCTGGTTTGCTGGGTTGAGCCTGAGCCAGGGGGGCACAGGGTGTCCCGGGGGTGCCACCTCTTTGGTGTCCCCAAGTGGGGACAAATTGCTGCACGTGGCACTGGATGGCAGCGCTCGTGGGTGTGCCCTCTGAACCGCAAATCTCGAGGCCAAACCGTTGTGGGAGATGATAATTGGCCGTCACAGCCAACAGGCTGGGTGACACATAATCCCCTCAGAAGCTGGCATCTGTTTAACCAGCAGAAAGAGGAGCACTTTGGAGGCCGTGGAGAGAGAGCTCGGCTCTCCCTCTCCCACATCATCGGGGTTGGCATCAGAGCACTTCTGCTGCCCAGCTCCAGGGTCTGCACGCTGGGCTGGAGGCATCTCTGACATGACACAGCAGCTCTGGCTTGCAGCCTGCCCTGCCCAGGGTTTGCAAGGGTTAAAATGAAGGTCAGAAGAGAGCACATGAGTAACCCTCCAGCATTTCTGCTCCTGAGCTGAGTAGCTCCATTACTACTTCCATCTTTTATCTTAAATACTTTGTTTTGAAGCAGATTGCAGGTTTCTGAGTCACTCAGTTTATCAGGCTCAGGGAGGTGAAGCCCAACTTTATTATGCTGCTAAAAGCAAAATGCAGAAGAAATGGCAATTCCCAATTACCATGGGAGAGGAGCTCACTGAAGGGAGGCTAGCAAATGCAGGAGCTCTGTACAGACTAGCTGATAGTGAATATCTACAGTCACTGGCACCTTCATTCGCTACCACAGCACGTGGGAGCAGCACTGCTGATGCCAGAGACACCTCATGGAGAAAGAAAGGACTTCTGTCCAAGTTGTCCCACGGGAAGAGCCTGGTGGCAGCAGCCTACGTGCAGTGTGTGCACAGGGACCCCTCCCCAGGCTCTCTGCCACCACAGGAACTTGTCCCAGGACTGTGCTGCCCGTGCCAAAGGCTCCACTGGGCAGCTGAGGCTGCAGGCTGTGGTCAAGGCTGGATACCTGCGGCACAGCTCACACAGATGCACATTCACATCTACTGAGGTTAATGGCAGCGAGATGGGTACACCTCTGCTGGGCTTTTCTTGCCTCCCAGGTGGCACTGTGGCAGTGTTTCTGCAGGCAGCATCCCTGGGCACGCCTGAGGTGCTCACACTGTGCCAGTGCTGGGCTCACGTCGTCGTCAGCGCTCGACAAGCTGCACTGCAGCAGCAGCCACAGCTGGGCCTTGGTCTGGGGCAGGTCTGCAGGGAGCAGGGGTGGGATTTCGGGACAGCAAGCCTGCAGACAGTGTCACCTTCCCAGCAGCTCCTCCATCCTGGCAGTCCTGACCTCTGGCATGTCTCCTCCGTGAAGGAAAGGCCATGAGTGCATGGGATACCCCAGCCCCAGCTCCTTGGCTTGCCTTGGATTTGACTGAGGAAGCAGATCCCCACTTGTCAACACGCAGCTGAGTCACTGCAGAGTTATTTTGGACTCTGTGTACTGAGGCACTCAAGGGGCAGCTCCAACACTGTGCCCTGGCAAATGCTGCGTTTTTAATCAAGGTTGTCACAAGCTGGATCCATCTCATCCAAATCTAGATGCTTATGTAAAGATGTCTCCACTGGAGCACTCCTTCCTCACTCATGACTGGAAGGCCACCTGTCTCTGATCTTACCTTCCACCTTCCCTTCCTCCTTTCCTCCACCAATGAACACACAAATCCATGGACATTTAGCATCAAAACCATTTAATATTTAGTGACCATAAAGGAAGGATTCAGAGGACTAGCACTGGGTTTGGGGAGTGTCAGGAGTGCCTCCACATCAGCACAGTAAACTCTGCCTGTATCTCCTACCAGAGGGAAGAACTGTGGGCACTGCAGCTGTGATCCAGGTTGGTTTGGCTGCCCAGGGCAGCTGGTGCTGGCCAAGCACCCAGAGGTCATGGCACCACGGTGCTTTTCCAGCCACATCCACTGTAATATTTTAGGGGAAGGGGGAAAATCAAGAAAATCAGAATCCAGCAGCTATCCAGCACACACAGCAGCGATGTCACCGTGTCTGAAATAATCATCAGCTACCGAAGGCTTGAAATGTGGCCAAGCAGTGGCACTGTGTCCCTTCAGGATCGATCCTCCCTAAGGGTGGGGACTGTGATGTGCACACACACAGGGGCAGAGCCCTCCTCTCCCCCTGACAAAGGTGGAACATCGTGTTCCTTGGTGCTCCCAGGTGGGTTATGGCAGGGGGGGAAAAGATCACAGGGGATGAGTAACTCAGCTAAGAGGGCAAGAACACTGCCTGGTGTTTTCTCAGCCCAGCCCAGAGAAGGGTGGTCTTGGGAATTTGCTCCTGGACTTTGGGCAACGTGTTTTGTGTTTCTGGCAGAACTCCCTGATCAGCCAGTCCTGCCTCGATGGGAATCCCATGAATTACAGGGCAGGCTCTGCTGTCCTGCCACTGCTCCTAATGAAAACCTCACCTCATACCCAAGCAGATGAGATACCAGCATGGACACTCCCCAGCTCCCCTCCCCCAGCTAAGTCCAAGCTTTGGACACGCCAGTTCTGTGCCTGCTTCCTGCAGGCTGCTGATAGTGAGTGTCACCAGGCTCAGGGATTACTGGGGTTGCTCTCCTGAAAGAACCTTGCTGGATGCCATGGGTTTTCACTACCCTCCCTTGGGAAATGAGGAGGATGGTCCCTGCTATTAAAGAAGGTGACAGAAGGAATGCTG